ATATTTGAGTCTACTTTCAAATGAAATAGTTTTGTCTAAATCAGAGTTTATTACAAAATGTTATGACCGAAAAATTGAATAGAGGTCAGATTACCGAAAAATTTCAGATTCATGGATTTGTATCAAAAGGAAAGAACGGTTTGGTACTAAGCTGAAATCTTTTGCATTATGAAGAATTAAAAGGAAAACAAAGATTAAGAATTCTGTAGGAAGAGATTAGAACACTTGCCTTAAACAAATTTGATTCCCAAATGGGGGGAGTTGATGCAAAACCTCAATCAAATCTTCTTCTTCAATTCCTCTTCTTCCCTTCTCTTCTCTTCTTAAACTCACGTTGGATGCAGCATCTGAAGGTTACATTTAGTTTCTCCTTTAATCTCTTACTTAATTACTTTTGGTTAACACAAGAGTTGCAAAGTTTCAAGGTGGCAAGCATGCATGAAAAGTGCTAGGTATCATCCTTAGGGCAAACTTAGGTGGCATCATTAAGCTAGCTAGTGACACATGTCCACTAATTTTTTATTTTATTTTATTTTTATTTACTCAATTCTGAATATTCTATAAATCATATCAAAATTTTAATATTTACTCTTAGGTCCTTAGCCATAAACTTTAATATAATATTATTTAATATAAAATAATTATTAAATAATCCTTATTTTTACAAACAAATATTTTATTAAATTTTCAAAAAATGGGGGATGTTACACGCTGCACCTCCTTGATTGAGCGGGGGGGATGCATCTTGGTTATGGCTCAAACCTTTTCTAGGTTGGCATCTATCCCTCTCTAGTGGATGACGAAACCAAGAAATTTTCTCGAGCTGACCCCGAAGACACACTTTGCGGGATTTAGGCGCATGTTGAACCGCTTGAGTATATGGAATGTCTCCACCAGGTCGGCCAAGTGCGTGCTTACAGTCTTGCTCTTTACAATCATGTCGTCCACATATACTTCCATGTTCCTCCTGAGCTGTTGTTTGAACAACTTGTCGACCATTCTCTGGTAGGTCGCCCCAGCATTCTTTAGGCCGAAAGGCATTACTTTGTAGCAATATACTCATCTATCGGTAATGAAGGCAGTGTTCTCTTGATCTTGTGGTACCATCCTGATTTGGTTATAACCTGAGAATGCATCCATAAACGTAAGGAGTTCATAGCCTCTAGTGGCGTCGACCAATTGGTCTATCCTATGAAGTGGATAGCAGTCTTTGGGGCATGCCCGGTTGAGATCGGTGTAATCAACGCACATCCTCCACCTTCTATTGGGTTTCTTAACGAGGACTACATTCGATAGCCACCGAGGGTATTTCACCTCGGTAATAAATCCTGTCTCTTTAAGGCGGTCGACCTCGTCGCTAATCGCCTTCTGCTAGCCGGGAGCAAACTTCCTCGGCCTTTGCTTCACCGGCCTAGCCTCGAGGTCGATGTTGAGCTGGTGCTGGGTCACCCCTAAGTTGATCCCGGGCATCTCCCTGGGGGACCATGTAAATACATTGACATTTTCCCTCAGGAAGTCGATGAGCTGGAGCTGATTTGCTTCGGGGAGTACCATCCTGATTTTCATAGTCAAATCGGGCTGATTCCTTTTCAAGGGCACCTCGGTGAGTTGCTCGGGGGGCTCCAAGCGCATCGACGCCATGGCTCCTTCTCGGGGATCCGAGAATTGACAGGGACATGACCTCTCCGAGAGGGTAACTGCTATAAGATAACATCGCCTTGATTCTCCCGGATCGCTTCGGAATTCCTCAATCCCTACCGAAGTTGGAAACTTAATGGCCCGGTGGTAGGTGGACACCACCGCTTTCAACTTGTTAAGTGTCGATCGACCGAGGATGACGTTATAGGCCGAGGGTAGATTGACTACCATAAAGGTAGTTATTATTGTCTTGGCCCTTGGCTCTTCCCCGATAGTGACAGGAAAGATGGTGGTCCCGAGAGGGGAGATAGAATCCTCCGTGAACCCAATGAGCGCTGACGCTATGGGGTTGAGGTCCTCCTTGGTCAAGCCGAGCTTCTTAAAGGCATTGAGGTACAACACATCGGCAGAACTCTCGGTGTCGACCATTACTCTTTTGACCCGAGCATTAGCGATCCGAATGGAGATCACCAAAGCATCATCGTGATGGGAGCGCTCGACCTCTCCGGCTCCGAAAGTGATTTCAGGCTCGAGCTCGGGTCGGGGATGTTTCTCGATCGCGCTCCGGGCATAGGCCTTCTTCGCCGTTGAGCTGTTGCCGCCAGCTACCGGTCCTCCAGAGATAACGTCGATCTGTCTTTCGACGGATCCCCTGGGGCGTGGAGTCACTTCCCGGGGTTCCTTGAGATAGTGCCCGAGGTGACCTCTTCGGATCAGGTCCTCGATTTGATTCTGGAGGTCGCGACATTCTTCCATGTCATGGTCGTAGTCTCGGTGGAACCTGTAATATTTGGACCAGTCTTTATGAGTAGCTTTCATAGGGTTGGGCTGTCGCAAGAGACCCTTCTCCTTGATTTGGAGTAAGATCTCGGTACGAGATGTGTTCAGAGGGAGAGGTGAGGGCCTCAGGAGCAGCATCTCTCATCGGTCGGGCCTCCGACGGGGTTGCACCGGGGCTGCTGAGGTCGTTCCTCTGGACTGTTCGACCCTTGGCCTCTTTCCATCCATATGCTTTCCCGACACCAGAGCTTCGGCGGTGATGTACTAGTTGGCGCGTTGGAGTATCTCGGGGATGGTTGATGGCGGCTTCTCGATCAACGACTAAAAGAACCTTAAAGGCTTTAAACCCATTAGAAACACCTGCATGATTAAAGAGGGATGAGTGTCCTGGAATCCTCGGATTTCAGTGGCGAAGCGTGCCACAAATTAAGAGAGCGACTCATCTTCACGCTGGGATAACGCAAGCAAGGTGGCCATGGAAGGCCTGGGTCACACGCTAGTGAGGAAATTATGCTCAAACTCCCTTGTGATATAGTCGAAAGACGAGACCGAGGACGGGTGTAGCCGGCTGAACCATGCTCGTGCCAGTCCCCTGAAGGTGGTCGGGAATACCCGAGACATCAGGGCATCGGAGGTGCCATAGAGGGCCATTTGAGCTCGGAACGCGGTGACGTGCTCTGTGGGATCAGAGCCATCGTCGTTGTCTCTAATGTCGGCAGTCTGAAGTTGAGAGGCACAGGCTTGTCCTATATTTCATGAGTAAAGGGAGATCTGCTCGAGCTGCCTTTGCCCAACTCGGCCCGCGACTTCTGGAACTCGTCCAGGCGTTGGTTGACCCAGGACAACTGGATCCTGAATGAGTCATCCACCAGTCGGACGAGTGATTCGGTAGGGTGCAAGTATGCTTTATTCGGGCGGACCTCTCGGGTCCATCTTCTACTCTCGGGCTTCTCCCATCCCAACCTGCTCCTTGCTCGGCCTTTGCCGTGTTGGGTCGGTCGAGGGAGTCGCTAGTCGTACGATCTGGGGGATGAGTGGGGCAATCATTTGTATCCCCGCCATTACCTGTACTTGCTTGGTCAGGCTAAGGAATGCCTCAGGCGACACAGCCGAGGGTCCCGTGGTAAGTTCGGGGGGCGACAACCCCGGGTTGTTGAATAGGCGCCAGTAACGATCTGGCGTCGAGGTCGAGATCCCCCTGTCTCAGAGGACGAGGAGGGGCTGATCTCCGGGCCCGACAGAAGGGTGGCCGACCAGTGGTTCTCCCTCGGGAAGAGCCCCTATGAGATGCTCCTACGACATGGCTCTTCCTCTAGTGCCAAAAATATTAATGAACTGATGCGCCATGGCTGATGAGTCAGCACGACCTGGTTCACAGGTCAATGTCGGGAGTCTTCGGCCGAGTGAGCTGGTTGCCAAGGTCGGTCGTGCCATCCGGACGGGGTGCTGGCATCGGAATGTTGAAAGCGCCTCTTTCGATCAGGATGGTCTCGCCTTGGGGAGATCCGCTTTCCTGCACAGAAGGCCCCCGTCAGGGTGTTTTCCGATTGTGGTCCTTCCGACGAGAGAGTCAGTGGTGGGTTGATATATATATATATATATATATATATATATATATATATATATATATATATATATATATATATATATATATATATATATATATATATA